GGGCCATTAGGGGGTGTGAAGGGGGCAACTTTGGGGCAGGGCAGTGAGGGCTGGGGGAAGGGGCCAGGGGGTTGTGTGTGGGCAGAGCTGTGGCAGAGGCTGGGTGCTGCAGGCTTTTTTCCCCCTTCACTCTGGGCTGGAGACTTGTTGGGATAAATGTGCCAAGGAGCTGGGCTTTGTCCCAGCAGAAACGGCCAGATCTTGTGAGATCCAAGCTTGGCTGTGGAGGGCAGGAGCTGCCCTGCAGGCACACCCCACTGTGGCTGCCATCTGCGCTCCTCCGAGCCAGGGCTTGCGCGCCACAGGGGCAACAGCCCACTCTGGCTTGCTCTGAGCCTGTCCCCTCACCACACCCACCCAAGTAGTGAACTGGCTGAATAGCTACTAACAGGCTGGGTCACGTTAGGTGGAGCCTGCCGGCCTGGCACACTACTGCTAACACCATACTTGTTTTGGTCATGTCTCGCGCACCTCCACTGCCTGGGAGTTCACTCAGCAGGTAACATCCCTACAGCTGGCTCAGCCCACTGAAAGCAATGTTCTGAAGGGCTCCATGGTCACAACTGCTCTGCTGACCATTGGGTCCTTTCCCCCAGGCTTACTGTGGGGCCTCAAACTTCTTGGAGACCAGGATGCAAGTAGAACTCACTCCAGCTCTTATCCCATCTTTGCTTCCCACCTGAAGTAAATAATGGTTTGTTCTGCACACCTTTGAACCTCTTGAGCAACTACACAATCACTGTTGGTTGAGTCTTTCTCCTATTTGTTTTATATAAACTTTTCCAGCTCTGGCCATAGCTACGACAAGTTTAGTCTCCTAAAGGTCAATCGGCATTTGGTAGTTCTCATATTTGCGTCAACAAAGTTTAATTTTCTGTTCTACAGGAAAAATGGTGTTCAACTTTTCCCTATTAAATTCTACTTTTCCTCTAACTGTAATAGAGCATTTTGGATCCTTTGGTAGGAAAGGCACTACATACATCGGTAATGCAGTGTCATAAAACATCTATTCTGTTAGCAACTGGCTGAGTAAGGCTCTTGTGTATTGTCAATAGCTTTAATAATTGGTTTAAAGGTGTATTGTTCCAATAAGGGCCATAAAATCCACAAGCATCATATGTGATGGAGGTGAGGGATGCAGGGAGATGTTTGTGTGTTGTCTCATTGATAGATACCCACAGGTGGGTCATTCCTAGAGTAAAGTGCAATGTATAGGGGCCTGAATATGGAGCAGGACTCATTATTTATTTTGCATTTTCTGTGTCTGTCATCTTTGTGGAGGCTAAGATGTTGTAAGTCCATTTCCACGAAGAAACACATTTCTACTTCCTTCCCAAAATACAAGCTTTGTCTTGCTAGGCTCCTTGTAGCAACATTGGAGAAGGCGGGGGTATATTGTTAGCATGAGCAAAAATGAGCAAGCCTGTGCAAGATGCATGCAGAGTTTACATACTGTACCAACTGATTCAGCTGGAGCACATGCTCTGAAATGCAAATCCCCAATTCATTCAATGAAGCACATTTCAGCTCTTTGTAGGAAAATTCTTTTCTGACCAACGTTAAATATCCAGTCCCTATGTCCACAAGTGGAAGATGGCTAATACAGTGAATGTCAGGTGCACTCACCTAAACATAGGGAAAGCACTGGAGTTGACAGTATGTCTCGGAAGGTACCTGACAACTTTCTCAAAGCCAGTCTGATTAGTCAAAGTGCATTTGATGCATACAAAGATAGGAAGATGAATTTAGGCTAATTACTCAAACCTCAAACTATGGGCTCAATCCTGCAAATCCTTAGCTGTGTCAGTAATAGGGCTGCTGATGTAATAGTAATGTAATGCTGTCGTTTGTCTTAGCCCAGGTAATTGCATTTGACCTGTATACCCTATTTAATACATTTTCTTCAATAAAACAACAAGCAAAAACCAAAACCTCCTAGCCTTATTTAAAAACAAGGGAATAGGAAAAAATATCAGTGCTGGGCCAGATGCTTGGCTGGAATAAATTTGGGGTTCAATTTAAGTTAATGGAGCTTTACAGTCTACAACATCTGAGTTTCTAGCCCATTAAAAATAAGAAAACTAAACCTTCTTTCCCTTAATCCCCACTGCAGAGACTTGCATAGACTAGTTAGAAGGAATGGAGTGGAACAAATGAAGCTTTGCCTCATTCATCATGCATCAGTCCCCACGCCCAATATTTAAAATATATTTATTACGGGTGGAGGTGCACACAGAATAAATTGAATAGCAATGCATACTGAAGAGAATAAAGCAAGAATGTATCATGACAAAGGAAAAAGAGTATTTTTCATCGGATGCATCCGATGAAGTGAGCTGTAGCTCACAAAAGCTTATGCTCTAATAAATTTGTTAGTCTCTAAGGTGCCACAAGTACTCCTTTTCTTTTTACGGATACAGATTAACACGGCTGCTACTCTGAAATCATGACAAAGGGTAGAGGAGAAATATATACAGAAAGTAGAAATCCCTTTCTAACCATATTCTATAACACTGCAATTGAAGATTATACACTGCCATAAGATCTATTTAATTTAAAATGTAGTGTTTTTTCACTTGTTCTCAAAATGTCAATGTTTTATATTTGCATGATCCTGTTCCAACTATTGAAATCAATGGGAATTCCCATTCTCAACTGCACTTACATACCACAGTAGTAACCAGCTTTAGAAATACCTTACAGAGAGTAACTTCAGTGGAATCAGGATCAGGCCCTTAACATCAAACAAACAATGCAATGGTTAGGGTGATATTAGCCCTAGAGAAAGTCCTACAAAAGTGCACTAACTGGTCAATTTGATAGCCTGCATTAGTGAATTGTCTCCCTATGAATATTCAGTTGAATATGTATGAATTTTGTACTTAGTAATTTTTCACTTTTGATCTTAAATAGCTTTGAAAAAGTGTTGCCCTGTTTCAGTTCATAAAGCATTGATTTCAAAGTGATATTATTACAATTTCATGAGAGGCCTAATTTTATCTCTAATTTTTTTTGCTCCTTTATGGACTGATTCTCCACAGCCTTGCACCAGGTGTAGTCATTTGCATCTGTGCAAAGTGTGTGTAAAGATGTTACTATTCCAAATAGTAACATCTTTACACACACTTTGCACAGATGCAAGTCAGCCCCTGCATATCTCCCACTACTGTAACACATCATAATTCTCAGTCAGTGGGCATGAACCAAGCCTCCTTTAGCTTACTGCTAACCACTGAAATCCTCCATTACAGTAGCAGCAAAAAATACTCCTTTTCCCCAGGCTCAAGAGCACAATATTTTGGGTGATGATATCTCCTCCTGCTGCCCCAGAGACAGAATTCAAATTGAATCCTTCATGTGTCTGGCTGATGCTAGCCTCAGATTGGCCTTTTTCCATTTCTTTTAAACTTCAGATTTAGCAATCTCCTCAACAGCAGTCTTGGTTTAATTTTCACCCCTATTTCATCCTCATTTATCCAGCTGATCTTTCCTCTCTTAGAAGGAATTTAGTTGTAAGACAAACAAATCTGCAGACAAATATTATTTGGATTACTATCCAGAACTGAAAATAAATATTTGAACATTGAATTGGATTTTACAGTTAAGTTAGCACAGAATTTTTATTTCATTAGGCTTAATTTAAGTGGTATTTGGAAGCCATTTTCAGTTCCATTTTAATGTTTAGGCTATTTCCAACACAGATTGCTAAAGTAAATGCACACTGCACTTCTTGCAAAAAAGTTAGGAAGATCTACATATAAATAGAATATTTTATGTGGTCAATAAATAAGTTCAGCATAACATGTACATTTATTATTTACATAACGTATTACTACAAAATATCATTAAATAGGCTTCCAACAAGGATTTTCATGTTAATTTTCTAGCAACACGTTAGATATCTGTGTCCTAAGTTACTCTGCACTGTATAGCTGTTTTCCCAACTCCCCCCTAGCCTCCGTTGGTTATCTTTCTCTGAGTCACATTATGTTGTTACCGTTGGGGTTGGGCAGGTTCTGCCATGTACCTGCTTTCTGTTCTACCTGACCACTTGCATGCTGCTCTCATGGGTTTCCAAGTTATAGCTTACCTCCCTAGGCCAATGATCGTAAGTAAATTATAGAAGTTCAGTGAAGTTGTATGCCTGTAAATGAGAGGAGAACTTGGCCTTCTATTCTTCTTTATGTACTTACTCCCCTTGTACTTACACAGTTTCTCTGTGGCAGCAGCCACAACCTCCCTTCCAGTTTAATTGAAAAAAGAGCATGTGAGCAATGAAAAACTCCTGGGTTTTTTTTTATTATTATTGTTTTAAATTAACAGTAAGATAAAAGCAGCCGCTCCATAAGGTGAGCAGGATGGAACTAGAAATCAGATTGCCGAGTCATAGTCTGATTCAAGATGTGGGAGGAGAAAACTGTTTCAAGTAACTCATGAAAGTGAAGTAGGCTGGCTTTGGCTTCGGCTTCAAGCAGCAAGAGGATTAGATCAGCATGGGGAATAAAAAGATAGATAAAGATAAGGACATCAAAGGCTGTGGTTTCAGAGAAGCCTGAGAAAAGGTATGTGTACAAGGGAGGAATATGAGAGACTAGAGCATAAAGAAGCAGGAATCAGGGCTGGGGTTTTAGCACTTTTAAGAATGGTCCAACAAGCATAGAGTACTGAAACAACTGACTGGAGGAAATTTACATATTCATTCTCCACACACAGAACGTGTGCTGTTTATACTATTAGACTAGGAATCCAGAAATCTGTGATGTATTGCCAGCCCTGCCACAGACTCTACATATGAACCTCAGCAAATCACTTAACTCACAAGTGCCTCAGTTTCCCCATCCGAAAAAGGGGAGAATAATACCCACTTGGCTTAGGTTTGTGAAGCTTAATGAATTTTTCAAAGCATTTTGAAATCCTTAGATGGTGGAAGAGAAGGTTAAAGTATTATTAAAATTGCCAAAAACGTTAACTGTTTTCTTTCAATTTCCTCTTAGGTACATTTCATTGGTGCATGAATGGAAATTTAAAAGGTTTGTCACTAAATATTGGTGAAAATGGAAACCTCATCTATGCTTTCATCTTTACACGATGAATGCAGATCAGACAATTACATTGAACCCCATTACAAGGAATGGTATCGTGTAGCTATTGATGCTTTAATTGAAGGAGGTTTAGAAGCCTACCAAGAATTTCTTTCCAAAGAGAGATGTTCAGAGTTCCTAGCAGAAGAAGAAATTAATTATATTTTGAACACTGTTCAGAAACTTCCTCAAAACACAGTTTATTCCCCTGACAATGCTGTTGATGATACCTCTTCCTCGGGAACTTATTGGCCTATTGAATCTGATGTGGAAGCTCCGAACCTTGACTTGGGCTGGCCCTATCTGATGCCTGGAATGTCTGGAGGTACAAATATTGATCTACTTTTTCATCCACCACGAGTACAGCCTTTCACAATAAAGGAAACTATTAGGAAGATGATAAGAGAAGCAAGAAAGGTAAACAGTTTAAACAATATTTATATTGTCTTATTTTTTCCACTGATAGTATGAACAAAAATCTGGCTGAAAGAAAAGTGGATGCAAAGAACACAGTAAAGAATTATTGGATTGAGGCCTTTGATAGGCACATAAGAAATGCATAGACAATTGACAGACTTGTTGTTTTGACCTCAGCTTTCCTTATGTTGAATATAAACTGAATCTTCATGTGAATGTTATAATAAATTTGGAACATTGGACTAGATCCTTAGCTGGTGTCATTCAGTCTAGCTTCAGGATCTATCCAGTTTGTTATTTTGCTGTGATTAGGTGTTCGTGTGTGCATGTGAAGTTGTCTGTCAGTCCTATTCTTGTGAAAATTTTGCTGACTTACATGAACCAGAGTCATGTTTCTTGAAGCGCTCAGGAAGCAAGATTTTTTTTTTTAATGACTTTGAATACAACTCCTGCTTACAGTAATAGAACAGAAAAGTACAAAAGAGGGGTAAGAAGAAGTGTGATATGAACTAAAGATGAACCAAATGCTATCTTCCTGTTTCCTAAAATTTATAAAGTCTGGTATTCTGCCTTCAGAAATTGCCAGTACCTGACACATGAGGAAAAGGTGAATGTTCTCCCACAAACTGTACTTAATTTACTGTGGAATATTGGACCCAGAGGGGAAAAATCTTTATGCAGGGATCAGGAATGCATATCAAAAAGTTGCATGCACTCACATCTTGCAAAACAAATAGAGGTATTATTTTAAGCCGACTAGCCTTGACTTGTGACGTTTTAACAATACATTATCATATTTAGCTTAACCATTGATCACTGTGTGTGCTGCTGGAAAGCTATAGAGAAGTATTAGCACAATTGAAATTCCTTACCGTTTCAGAAGAGTCTCAATCTTGGATCAATATTTCTTTAAAATAGAAGCAAAACATACGTTTACTAATTTTAAGCTATGATGTATGAGGCACCTATCAAAGCTTTTTGTAACAGAAAGCTGTATAAGCAAATACACATCTGTCCAAAGAAAAGACATGACTTAAAGCCCCACGCTTAACCTCAGTAATGTGGCATGGAGGGGCACTGGAAGAGTGTAGGCTCAGATTCAGCAGTTCATCCCTGTTCAGCAAACCATTTATCAAAGAGTTTCACTTTAGGCCCTGTTTCATGTACCAGGCGCTAAGTAAAACCATGAAATGACTTTATGTTTCTAACATTAAATTGGCTCTTTATTAAGAGAACTATTTACAGGCATGCTGCAACTGTAGCTAGTAGTCAAGCCAGGAGAATACAAATTGGCTTTGTGGTACCTCCTCCAAACCCTTCTCTCCTGCAACCTGTGCTCCTCCCTCCAAGTTCCCTGCAGATGGCTGCAGGTCATGGTTAAGCCTACCAAGGGCACATAAGTGTGTGCTCAACTTTAAGCTCCCGCTGAAGTGCTTTGCTGAACAAACATGGGTTTAATCATGTGCTGATTTGTGGCCATAAAGAGGAAGTGGACTGGTAAGAGAATGGTGAGAAAAGGCAGTTATGTGGTGGTATTTTTCTACCACTGCAGTGCTGCCACCAGTCCATCTCTACCATTTGCTTACTGGTGCTGCTGCATGTTGGGAAGAAAACAGTCCAGTTGCAAAGGAGGGAGGAGTTGGGAAGAGTGGGTTTTCATGGCATATTCCTTTCTGAATGAGTCAGAATACTGTATTTATGTTAACGCTCCTGTTAGCAGCAATAATTCTGCCAATTTACTCTAATCTCCTTTCCCCATTGGAGGGCCTGATCCATGAAAACCCCCTTCCCCTAGGGAAAGCAATCAACAGCACAGTTAGCCATGCTGCCAGGACTGGCTTCCCCTTGTGGAGGGGGCTTGGAGTACCAAAAAGACATACTGGCTTCTCTCTGAAGACCTGAGATTGTGAGGTATAGCATGTCTTTTCTGTGTACGTGTTTCTTTCGGGCCTACAGTCCATGCTTCTTCCACTGGTTCTGCCCTATGCAGGGGATGCTGCCACATGAATGCTCAAAATTTTGGGCAAATACTCCTCTGTGTGGGAGTGTATATGGGAAAGGTTGGATGTGACCTTTACCTGTTTTAAAGGAAGGATCTGTGTATAGTACTTTAAATAAAGTATTAGAGATCTAAATGACTTCCATGTTAATTAAGAGAATGTTTTGTAGTTGATGTTAAGACAGAACAAAGGCTTGATTGGTTGATCAGTGTAATACCAAACAGGAAAAAATGAAGTTTAATAGCAGTCTTAAAATTGAGCCTTGTGGTGATTTTGATTAGGTTCTTCCAGAAGTTAACATTCAGTCTTGAAGGGGGAAATGGTATTTGTCTGGGTCTTTAAACTTTTTTCTTGTATCTGCAGGTATGTGATTCATGCATAGTTATGCTTAAAGGTGGACTGTAGGGGAGGTACTTATAATTAGCTGCAGTACAAATGTTTTAAGTCAGTTAGTAAACATTAGGATTCCAGAAAGAACCAGGTAACTTGCTTGGCAGAGGTAGGTTATGTTGAGACATTTTCATTAAAATGTGTTACTTGTCACATAATGGGGAGTGGTCAAATGAAACAGTCCTCAAGAAGGAGAACTTCATTTATAACTTGGTGATGAGGCCCCAAATGTTTAATACCTTATCTCACCCTCACTGAAGTCAATAAGAATGTCAGCTTTAATGGGAGTAGAGACAGACCTTAAGTGTGCAAGGTAAACTAGCCTGAGACGTGGTGGTGGTGGTTGATCCATCAGATAATCTAGATTCTCTTTAAATTTTGGGAGATTTACAGGGGAAGGATTACAAAGATTACTTTAAGGGTGAACTAATTTTTCTTGGCCTCTTTCCTCAAGGTTGGATGCACCAACATGTGATTTATTAAAATAAGTACATATGTTAATTTTGTCCACTGCTTTCTTTACTGAAGCACGCTTTGTAAATATCGTCACTGACTAATGATGGATCTACCCTGCCAGAGGAAGAATATCAGATGTAAGGCCAAGCTGTGCCAGGGGAGGGGGGAATCCATAAAAGATGTCCAAAGAATCTTGCCAATAATGTTTTCCTTATCCACTTAGCTTGTTGTGAATGATATAAAGATTAACACAGCAAAATACATTGAATTTAAAAATTAAGTTTAATTGCTACCATACTAATATGAAAACAAAGGACGGAGAAATAGCCATAGTGAGAAAAAGTACAAAGCCACCTTGAAGCAGCTACATGATTTTGAGCCCCCTCTGAAGAGAAATTGAGGATGAAGCAGGGTAGACAGGGCCTCCAGAAATAAGGCAGCTGGCTTGTTATCCTCATCCTTCAGAGATTTGTCAATAACACTGGCCTGTTTTCCAAACTCCTCTGGAGCTCAAGATGCTATAAAAGGACTGACTTATTGCACCTGATGGATAATATTTTTTCCCCAGATAATTACTCTTCTGAGCACTGGTATCAAGAACACTACTCCTCTGTTTTGGGTCAACATGAAACTTCCTTATCTTACTGTCCAGTACCACGGGTAACTCTATTAATAAAATATTCCTTCCATGAGTTCCCTATTGATCTCTCTTCACAATTGCCTCCAATATTATCAGGTCTGGGGCTTGCATACTGTGGTGTGGCAAAGAAATGAGAAAAATATTATATTAATATCTCAGGTGTGATGGTTCAGAGATGTCACAGCAGGAAAGAGGACAGAGAAGTGGCTGTGAAGCTGGGAGATGTACTTTGTGACAATGTCTCTTCCTCTCATTTTATGAGCTTGATTTCTGCCTCCTCCCTAAATCACTCACGTGTTCCTACCAAGTCTCATAGTGGACATCCAAATATTGATCAGCTCCTCTTGGAAATCATTCAAATTAGTTTCTGCAGAATCGCCGAGTTCAGACAACACCATGAGGTTTGGTTTGCACCACAAAGGGAGGATGTTTGGAAAACAACTCTCAGTGCTTACTGCAGTACTTTTAGAATTTTTGACAGCATATAATAAGTTAACATACACACCAGATCTTGGAAACAATTCTTGAAAATGCCAAAGCATATTTTTTTCTGTATTTCAAAAGATGTTTAAAAAAAAAACAAGCAACCAAAACCCTGAACCTGCGTTCTTTACACCAAATTACATTTACTTACTTGAATAGTCCTATGAGCCACAATTTTCAAACATGGGTTTCTGAAATCAATGGAAGTTGTGGGGCCCAGCCCTTTCATAAGTAAGGCTACTAAATGAATTTACATGGCCAAACTTATACACCGAAGTTTGAAAATTTTGGGCATTACCTTCAGTTGGACTGTCAATGTGAGAAAAGATTGCAAAACTGGGACCTTAGAAAACATTAAAACTACACTGTAAAAAAGACTTTTATTAAATGTAGTAGGACTCATGGCAGAAACTTACTGACTGAGAAAGAAGTACCAACTCTGTTTGAATTTAACTCAAGAAAGATACAGGTCCACACACAGAAAGTAACTGCTTATGCTGTCTTCCAGCTCACAAGACTTAACTAGATCCAAACAACTGAATCTGTTTATGAACCTAGAAGGAGATTTTGTGTACAATAAGAAAAACTAATTCTTCTTTGAGTGATTGCACATGTCTATTATGGTCGGGGAGGGGAGAGGATGTGCCGCACACCTTGTGCACCAATGCTGGAGAGTTTTCCTAGCAGAACCCAGAGGGGTGGCCACACTGTGACCTGGTGTTCTTTGTGTTCTGACCTAAGGGTATAAAGGGTAGAGCCACCATGCCTATCCTACAGTTCCTTCTTATCAGTGGTGAGAACATGCTCTCTGATCATTCCGTTAGAGAACTTGCTGGTTTTAGTTAGTGGTACTAATTTTGGGGTCCTTAGATCTCCTTTTTTCTTTTTTAATCAATTGTTCACAATTAGTAGTCAGTGGACTCCAGGCTCTACCTTGTACTGGAGGAACCTATGCCAAGGTCCCTTGACTTCTAACCCGGCTCTGGATGTCACAAACCAGTGCTTGTGAGCGACTCTCACTGCCTGAAATG